TGACTCGTGCAGGATATACAGGTCCTCCATGGAAGGCAAGTTGATAGTAATTGTTTTTTCTGCAGTCCTAATTCTCCTCTGGAGTCTGTGTCTGTCCTGTTGGGTTGCAGAGCCAGTTATAGACGTGCACATGACAGATCATCAATCATTCCTCTGTAGAACTGGATCAGGGCGGTGTGATGTGAAGGGTGTCATATGGGCATTGGGGAGCCCCAAGAAAATGTTAGTTTCCCCTATGAGGATATAATAACAAGAGGAAGTCATGAATCTCCAGGTTGCTTTCAGGCCTGCCTGCCTTGCAGGGTTGTTGTGCAGGCAAAATAAGAGGAAGAACAGCGTTGGCTGCTTTGAAAGTTGGAGTGAAAGTTTGAGGGATAGAAAAAGGGGAACAAATAGGGAAGCAGTGTCCTTATTTCCCATTGTCTTATTTTTCCTCTTTTACTTTCTTTTCTCATACTTTCATTGCATTGGGAAATTCTAACAGAAATACAAAAACAAATAGGTAGGGCCAAATAATTTTGGAAAGGCGCAACGAAGGCTGGGTAGTTGCAGGAGGCTTCTGGGGTTCAAACTGAGCTCCTCATTTCCTAACAAGGAAGTTTGAACCCCAGAAGCCTCTGGATATCAAAATTGCCCCCCCCACCTCCTGCCTTTTAATTTCATGGATTAGAAAACAATCCACCAATAATTCCAGGAGTTTTTAATCGCTGTCCCGTGGCAAAAATAAATGTAATGAAACCCCCAGGCTGTAAAATTGCAAGGGAGCCATTAAATGACTTGAAAAGCCCAAACAGGAGAGAAAGCCTCAGCCAAAGGCACTTTTTCAGGTCTCTACAGAAATCGGACAATGGCCGAGCTTTGCCGTCTGGTTGCCAGAACGGCGTCTGTGAATTTCATGGCACAATAGTGGCGCCGCTCCAGGCCACAAAAGGAAAGCAAGAAGTTGGCTGCCGGGCCTCCTTGGGACGGTCCGAGCGCCACAAGGAGGATTTCGTGGGCTTGATGAATTCCAGCATGATTTAATTGCATCTCCACGGAAGGGAGGTTAATTAATTCCAATTAATTCGGATGGCTTTCTTCCCTCCGCTCCCCTTCTCTCCCCTTATAAGAGTGAAATGAAGATCCAAGAGAGCCCCGGGTAGCAAATCTCCTTTTGCAGATTGCACACACAATGCTCTGTGCACATAACGTGGCCTTTGTTGGATGTCGAAAGCATCTTTTTTGGGGGGGGGGTGGAAGAACGTAACAACGGAGAGGCTGGCTCCTATCTCTAAAAGGCGCCCAGTCATCAGACGGTTCTCCCTGCTCAAGCCGGGACTTGAAATGTGTCTCTTCCTAGAGGAGGCAAAACAAAGGGAATATTGTCCGTCTTCGTACATCCACATTGTGTGTGTGTGTGTGTGTGTTTTCCATAATTTAAAGTGTCCTTCTGTATTGGACAGACGGGATGGAGGAGGGTCGGCAGCCCTGGCCAAAAGGTTTCTCTCTCACCACAGGCTAACAAGTCCGTCTGGCAGGGGAGATGAATAGTTGCCTGCCACACCTGTTCATCTCCGCCCCCTGCCTTTGATCCCCGGAGCTCGGGTGGGACTTCGCTAGCAGCGGTGGCTCTTCCGTCCCAAGGACCGGCCCATAGATTTCCACTGCTCTCCTCTCCTCTGCCTTCTGCATATCCATGCGTCAGGCACTGCTGTTCCTCATCAGTCACCTCCAGACCTGGGGGCTGTTGACTCTCCATCTGAGGGCTGATGGACGGCTCAGGCT